CATATCCCATTTCCAAAGGATGGCAACTCCAGTTCTTTCCCTTGGGGCCAAGTGAGTATGGTATAAATGGTGGTTGATCCTGTCAACTGATCTTAACAGCAGCTAAGAAACTGACACCGCAGGTATAGTTTCAATGTGTCTACAGTATTTGTTTAGGAAGACTACTATGAGGAAAGATTATATGCTGTTAGAGGTTTCATATGTGCTACAATCCTTCATCATAATACTTTAACTAGACTTCGTTTTTGGACCGAAAAACTTTTCTTCTCAAAACTGTTTAAAAACTTAGGTATCTGAAAGGATGTTTGTGGGCTATTAAAAAGAAAAAAAATACACATACTAGGCTTCAGTATATCAGTATTTAGTTTCTGGTCACATCTACTAAAGACTCACACATTTAAAAACATTAATCAAAGAAGGGGTCTATAGATATCCATGACAAAAGGGTACATGATACCCAAAAAGGTAAAAATCCTGTGTTAACAGATTTCTTGTTACAACTTATCCCAACTCATTTTAGGACAGAAGACTGCCAAGAAATTAATTTTTTGAGATTGATTCTTTACCTATATATTATAACACTCTTCTTATATTCTTCATTAAGTATAAACTCTAGATTTGCAGCCATAAAATCTTACTTATTCCACTCGTTTTCTTTTCCTCCTGTCTTTAAAATGTTTCATTAAAAACTTAATAACAAATAACAATATAACCAAGCAAACTTGCTTTGCAACTAAAGTTAATTTAAATGTATAAGATATCACAGCAGTATAATGGGGGATCTGGCACCTGTACGGATCTGTCATTTGGCTAATGCAGTCTTTTACCTCTAGGAGAATCGTGATGTAAGGGAAGTACCTTGGCTAAACTACAGAGCCTTTATAGATACTGTGGTCAACTAGCCACACAGTGGAAGGGGAGATTCTTCTATTGGCTTTAGAGGCACTAAAAAGGCCTTTCAGAATCAGACAACTCCACAGTGTCTGTAAGTGACCCTACAGCCCCAAAGAAACCAGCCTTAGTCTTTTGCCCATTTGTTTGTTGTTTTCCACTTTAGGTGAAGAGAGTGGAATCTCTGACCCCAAGAATTTCAAAAGATCAAGACATCAAGCCACAGGAAACCAGCAGTCATAATCCAGGCGAGATTTTGTAGCCACTGCAACATCGAGTCCCCAGGGAGCAAACTTTGGCAGTGACCTTCAAATCCTGGCCCAGCAATAGCTGAGACAAGCACTCTTTCAACAGAGATGCCTACTTTGGACATGAACTTTTTAGAACTGATGTTATATAGGAACTAAGCTGAGTTTTGAGCCTGTTTCCCTAGAGAGTAAGGCAGTATAGGGAAGAATATGTTTGCTGCAATGTAGGGGGTGAATATAGTGTGTTTATATTGTCTTTGAAATAAATTTCCCTTTGCAAAAGTTACTTGATGTTAACTGGGTAAATGGAACTGAAGCGCTAGCCATAAGCCCCCATCTGTGAGGAGGAACACAGACACTGGGGGCTTGTACCAATGGCAATAAAGAAGAGAAACAATCCATTCCCTCAAAGTCCTCCAGAACACACAGTGGGGAGATGTCAGTCTGGCTCTGGGAGTCAGGGCCAGAGTACATGCATTACAACAGTTTTTTATTTTCATTTTTTAAATATGTTTTTATTTATTTCACTAAATATTTCCCAATTACATAAATTTTTAACATTCATTTTTTAAAATTTTGAGTTCCAAATTCCCTTCCTTTTGCCCCTCCCCCACCCCTTGAGAAAGCAAGCAATTTGATATAGATTATACACTTGAAGTCACACAAAACATATTTCCATATAGCCAGGTTGCAAAAAAAAAAAACACAGGGAAAAAAAAGAAAAATAAAGTTTAAAAAAAAGAATGCTTCAATCCGTATTCAGAACTGAACTGTTCTCTTTCTGGAGGTGAATAGCGTTTTTCATCATAGATCCTTTGGAACTGTTTTAGATTACTGTCTTGTTCAGAGCAGCCAAGTCTTTCACAATTAATAATTCTTATAATACTGCTGTTACTATATACAATGTTCTCCTAGTTCTGCTCACTTCACTTTGCATCAGTTCACACAAGTCTTCTCAGTACAACCGTTTTTTAGTCATTCCCCATAAGATCCATCAGGATCTTTGTCCATTCATTCTCATTTCCTTTTCCTCTTATCTCAATCAGTGGTCACAGTATGTACTCTATTTTTCAGGTTGTGCTTTATTTCACCTCACATTGTTTCATAAATATCTTTCTATATTTCTTTGTATTCTTCAAACATGTCTATCTTAATTGCATTATGTTACATTACCTTAATGTACCACAATTTATTTAATTATTCCTCTACTATTAGATACTTCCAGTTTTTTATAACACAGAAGGCTGCTATAAATGTGAACTAGATAGTTCTCTTTCTCTCTCTTTTTTTTTAAAGTAACACATTCTGGGAATATTCCCAAGGGGTCACTTTTGGGCTAAAGAGTATGCTTATTTGTATACTTTTACCCAGATCTGCTAGATAGCACTCCAAAAATATAGTATAAGTTTGCAGTTCCACAGCAATCAATACGTATACCAGCACTGAGTTCTATTTCTTTTAACTTTTTTTTTTTTGGTTAGCTTCATGGGTGTGAAGTGCTACTTTGAAGTTGTTCTAATTTGCATCTCTTTAGAGGTGTCAGGCATTTTTGCAAGTGATTATTGACAATTTCCTTTTCTGAAAATTACTTATTCATATTCTGTTCAATTTTCCTACTCTGCTAAGTGGATTTTTTTTTTCTAGTAAAGGTTAATCTGCTTAAGAGCCCACACTCTCCGCCCACACTGTGTCCTCTATGTGAGACAGGCTAATTATCTCCTTACAGCACACATTAGTATTTTTATCTTTCAAACACCAACTGAAGGACAGGATGCTTTCCTTAACTTGGCATAGTGATTGGACCTGTGATTCTACTGGTATAAGGAACTCCTCTATGAAAGAACTGCCTCTACTAATGTGGACTGGCTTCTTTTTTTCCATAGACCTCTTTGCATTCTGATGAAATTGATAAACACCTTTTCAGATTAATGTTTTAAGTGTATAAAATAAAAATCATAGGATTGCAAAAGAAAACAATTATTAAAATATTTTAAAAACAAGTTCTTGTAGCCCTGGAGTCAGGAGTACCTGAGTTCAAATATGGCCTCAGACACTTACTAGCTGTGTGAGCCTGGTCATTTAAGACTGATTGCCTCCAAAAAAGCAAACAAACAAAAAGTTCTTGGACTATAGGTTAAGAACAGGGGTTTGTTTGTTTTTTATACTTTCCAATTTTATAATATGTAAGATTAATAGCAGCAAAAAATATAAAAAAATAAACAATCAGAACAAGAAAAATACAAACATGATTATTTTTTGTTTAAATTAATATGTACATTTTTGAAAAGGAGTAAATTTTTAAAAGAAATGTTTGGCCTGACAAAGCCTTCTTATCAAGATAATATCAACCTAATGCTATGATAGTGAATTGTCACTACTTTGTACTTAATATTTTAGAAAATACAGAGAAGTCTGTTTTTTTCCCTTAACTCTTAAAAAAAAGTTTTAATCCTGATCTTAACAAACACCAAATAAAATAAAGATTTCTACATACATTATGAAACAGAAGACAGTATTCTGTGTGAAACTGTGAATCTATTATATAGTTTACTTTTATTTTTAAGTATATAACAAATTTAATGTGTAACTTTCAAAGCTATCCTGCTTGTCTTAGGGAGCTTCCTGGAGCTCTGAGAGACTACAATATATATATAGAGAGAGAGACAAACAGACAGACTATAATGGAGACTATGTAATACTCCCAAGGTCATAGAGCCAGTATTTTTTGGAGATCAGATTTGGACTCGGGTCTTTCTGGTTTTGAAGCCAGTTTTTTATCTACAATGCCATGTTGCTTCTCAAAAAGTCAAAAGACAAATCTTCAGACCAAAGTAAATCTTAGTTCCCTAGCCACAATTCAACCTGGGTACTACTACATTTTTGTTCCTTTCTTCTCTATCCAAGACAGAAACCTGGGGCACATCATGAAAAATGGTCAATCCTAATCACTGGAACAGATATCAGCTTAGTTTCATGGATTGAATCCCCCATGTTGGCCTGCTACTTTTGATCTATTTCCCAGACAACAGAGTAACTTTTATAGCCCCAACCAGGTGTCTTGAAAACGTGAGCCATTTGTCACAAAGAGAAGATGGATCAGTACAAATCCATGTTACTAAATGAAAACAAAACAAAACAAAACAAAACCCTCCAAATCCACCTTATTGAGTCAGTTACATTCCAAAAACAGTACTAGGAACAATGGGTGAAAATTGCTGAGAGATAAACTTAGCTTCAATCTAAAGAAAAATGTCCTCATGACAAACATCTGTTTAAAAATGAAATTTGCTGGTTCAAGAGGAAGTGGGATCCTATTACAGGAGATCTTTAAGAGGTTATATGGCTATATATCAATGTCAATCCCCTCCATAAGATCATTTGTCAGTGATTTTATGAAGAGGATTCTTGCTATGGATTGGACTGTATAGCTTCCAAAGTCCCTTCCAAACCTGAGATTCTGTGTGAACCAAGCACCTGAACACGTGAGAGTCATGACACAACGGGAACAGCAATGGATCTGTGAGTCACAGAGACGGTGCAGGCCTCTGGGGATCCCAGAAGAGGACCTATCAAAAGGAGGAAGGGGAACTCTTTGACAATCTTTAGGCTTACATTTCAATCCTGTCTGGGTCCTGTACCGTAAATAAAATTCATTCTGGTTTGATATTTTGTGAGTCTGAAAGCTCACAAGTACACCCTAAGATGAGTTGGTGCTACCATTAGGGAACTGTCAAACACTGGGGTCACAAAGAGTCGGATGTGACTGAAAACGACTGAACAACGAGATCGATCAGGGTTCTAATTCCAGCTCTGCCACTAATTTTGTGGCTCAGCATGTCACTTGGGTCTCGATTTCCTCACCTGTAAAATAGAGGGGTTGAACCAAATGACCCCTACGACTTCTCCCAGCACTGATAATCTGATTCCAGGCTTCTCGGGACTACTAGGCCATCCCAGGCTGAGACAAGCAATACTAGAAGCTTGCCCGCTTCGGGTAAACTGGATTTTCCTTCTTGTCTTCTTCATCATCAACAGTTTGGATACAAAGTGTTGTTACTAAGGTGATAACAAACGTTCGCATTTCTGTAGGTCTTTAGACTTTACAAAGTGTTGTAGGTCGTGTATGCATTAGGATCTCCATTTTTTAGATAAGGAAACTGAGGCTCAATAAAACTACGTCTTCCAGATTTCCTTAAGAAAGACTCGTGAGATGCTGAGGCGGAAATCGGGTCGATCCCCAAGCACTGAAATCGGCGATCTCTTAAACAGGCTCATGATTCTCAACAATGGAGCCTTTCGATCATCGATTGGCTTCACCTGAAATGGTGGCCTGGTTTTTTTCAGTTGGAGTACGCCAGTTCGACCCGGAAGTACCTATGAAGATCCAGCTAAGACCCGTCCCTATCCGTTTCCCTCCTCTGCTGGCTTGCGCCCTGCGTCCGTCTCTTCTGCGCGGGCATGCTCCATATCTACCCTTCCTTCCCCGCTATAATCCGGAGCTCTCAAGGAAGAAGACGCCAACCTGGCCACGCATGTGCAGTGTGAGAACCGAGGTCACGCGCTTCGTTAGATCTTCTCCAGTCGATTCCTAGCTCGCGCGGGAGCCCCAGACTAGCCGCGTATTGGTCGGCGAGCTGTTAGCGCATGATCCATGACGGAACGTTTCCCTCCCGCCCCGCCCCCCGCGCTCTTCATGTCTGCCGAGGTCGCTGGAGTAATGAAGGTTGGCCCGGGGTACCTCAGAGTCACCCGGCGCGTCGGCCCCGTAACCGTCCTCGTTTGCCCCACTCCAGGCCTCCCCCTAGACCCTGACGGAGCCGTGACTGAAAGCTCCGCTTATTTTCTGACGTAATTCAGTTCCTCAAACTTTTTCTCAAGCGCTTCCTCCGAACCAGGTACTGTGCGTGCTAGCCAGGGCCCGGGGATGGCGAGAGGGAGTCGGAGACAGAGACAGACGGCCCAGGCCTTCGAGTCTTCCTTCCGAGGCGAGGGACTAGCCAGGGAGGGAAGGAGAGAGGCCGAGCAGAAAGGGGGCCAGACGAGGGTCGAGGCTGCAGCTGCCTGGGGGAGGTGGCACACGCACGAGCTAACCCCCCGAGGCAGGGGCTTAGACCTTGGGGAGAGGAGCCTGGGGGGAAGAGATTGCTGCCCATGCTAGGCCTCGGGGGCTGCTGCAGCAAGGGGACCAGGATGGGAGCAGGCTCAGGCAGAAGCACAGGACAGCTTTGAAAGCTACGGGTTGAAATGTATTTAAAAGTAAAAGCAGATGTCTACTTCCAGACAGAGAGGTGATGGACTAATGAGCGGAACGAGACGCGTCTTTGGACTTGGCCAACGTGGAGATTTGTTTTGTTTCACTATGTTGTTTACATAATTTGTTATTAGGGTTTTGTTTTTCTTTTTCTTTTTTCCGTGGGGTAGGTGGAGGAGTTGGGTGGGAGAGAAAATAAATGCTTGATTGTTGAAGAAAGTTCTTTTTTAATTAAAAAAAAAGCAGGCTTTGTACATAAAAGCGATCTGCAGTTTCATATGCAGTTCTTTCTGTTTATACTGTGTATACAGAAATGCTTTTTATTTGTTATTTAAGCTCAGAATAGAAATTCTTATTTGGTATTTAAGCTCAGAATAGAAATTCTCTTGACAAAAAAACTTTTAACAGCAGAAAACGTGGAAGCAGTGGGATGAGAGTAGGCTTATTTGGCTGGGACATAATTAAAGGGAAAAGAGTATGAGAGAAGGCCAGAAACTTAAGTTAGAGTTAGGCTGTTGAGTTTCTTTTGTAAGCGGTGGAAAGCCTCAGAAGCCTTTGGCTAGAGGGTGACTATACCAGGACAGTATGTGGACGGTATGGATTTGTTGAAGAAAAGCTTTTACACAGGTATCGGTGTGGAGAGGGCATAGAGTGTATTAGAATTAGAGTTCGGAGGCTATTTCAGTAATCCAGGTAAAAACATACACGAGTTTGAGCCAGAATTGTAGAAGGAAGCCTCTCCAGGCTAAGTGGCCCTAATTCTCCCCAAAGAAGAAATTTAGCTATCCCATCCTGCTCTTAGGAAGGCCTATACTGACAGGGCCCTCCTAACTCCCATAAGGTAGTCTGATTTTATATCCTTGAGGGCCTAGAAATGACACCTGAGACACCCCCTATGAAAAGCATTACTATTCTTGTTTTCTTAATGGTTCCCAAGACTCGTTCTCTTTCCTTTTTCTATGAACTTTCAAATTGAACTATCCAAAAGCAGCCTTTGTAGGTTTGGGGCTCTTGAGGCTAAAGAAGAACCTTAGAGAGCAAGTCAGAAATGACATGAGAATACCAGTGGTGCCTTTTCTGTACTCTGTTAATTGAAAACAAGTATTTGCTGAATGTTATTAGAGACCGTTTGAAATGCATTTACTTGGCCCATTTCAGCACAGTCCTCATGTTTTCCTTGAGTGAGCTGCTTTCCCAGATAAAAATCAATTACTCATGTGAGTTTTGCTTTGCAAAAGGCCTTGGAAAGCAAATGCACCTCTAAATGCTACTTACGTACCCAGGGGAGCTGGTAGTGGTGGTGTGGTTTGGTTTTTTGCAGATACGGGTAAAGGAGGCCTTGCTGAAGTTGTTGATTGAGCCTTGCAGGAAGGCATTTGAATTTCCTGAGCCTCAGTTCCATGATTTATAAAATTGAATATATGAAATACCTGCTTACCTATTTAGTAGGGCTGTTGGGAGGATTAAATGAGAAGATGCATTTTAAAGTGTTTGGTAAACCTGAAAGTGCTATATGCATTTTTTGTGGAATAGTAGTGTAGTGGAAAGAATCACATTAGAAAGTCATAATTTTAAGCCCTTGAGCCTGTAAAACTCAGCATCTCCCCCCCCCCCAAAAAAAAGTGGCCCAGGAGTGGAAAAAAATGGGAATAGGACCTTTGATGTCATTGGTGTCAAGAACTCCTAGAAGGGGAAAAAACCTTTTAACCTATACAGGCTGGCATCTTTGCATCTTAGTTTGAGAGAATTATCTAGGGCACCAAGAGGTTAAGTGGCTAGCCTATGGTTACACAGCCAGTGTTTATCAGAAGTAGAACTTGACCTTGTCCTGACTCCCAGGCCACCATTCTATCCTATCTGCCACATTGACTCTCAAAAATAAAGAACCAAGTGTCAATCAAGAAGCATTTATTAACTGCCTGATATGTTCCAGGTGATAAGGGAATAAGCTAAGCTCGGGATACAAAAAGAGGCAAAAGACAGTCTCCACTTTCAAGGAATTTACGATCTAAGGGAGAAGACAACATGCAACTAAATATAGAGAAAGCAAATTATATACAGAATAAATAGGAAATAATTAATAAAGGTTAGGCACTAGAATTAAGAGGGTTTGGGAAAAGCTTTGTGTAAAAGATGGAATTTTAAAGGGATTTAAAGGAAGCTAGGGAAGTCAGTAGGTAGAGTTGAGGGAGAGTATTCTGAGCATGGGGAATAGTTAGAGAAAATTCCCACGCTGCAGAGATTGAGTCTAGTGGATCAGAATGTACTTGATGGGAGAAGGCATAAGAAGACAGGAAAGATAGGAAGGGGCTAGGTTGTGATTGTCTTTAAATGATAGAGTATTTTGTATTTGATCTTGGAGGTGACAGGGAGCCATTAGAGTTTATTGAGTAGGGGTGGGACAAGATTGAATCTGTGCTTTAGGAAAATCACTTAAGTGACTAAATGGAAGATGGATTGGAGTGGGAAGAAAGTTGAGGCCCACCAGCGGTCTGTTGTAATAATCTAGGAGTGAGGCAATGAGGGTCTTAACTAGAGTGTTGGGCAGTGTCAGAAGGGGGAGAATTCGAGGGATGTTGCAAAGTGAAATCAACAGGCCTTGGCAACAGATTGGTTATGGGAGAGTGAGAGGTAGTTAAGAGTCCAGGATGACTCCTAGGTTATGAGCCTGAGGAACTGGGAGAGTAGTGTTGCTCTCTACAGTAATATGGGAGGTAGGAGTGTGGGGATGGAGGGTTTAGGATGAAGGATAATGAATTCTGTTCTGGACTTGTTGAGTATAAGATGTCTACAGGACATCCAGTTCAAGATGTCTGAAAGGCAGTTGTAATTCAAAACTGGAGATCAGCAGAGAGGTTGGGGCAGAATAAGAGATTTGAGAATCATCAGCATAAAGATGGTAATTTCGTCCTTGGGAGCTAATAAGATCACTGAGTGAAATATAGAGGGAAAAGAGAAGAGAGCCCAGGACAGAAATTCTTGCAAACAGTGTCTTGCTATATGCATCAATATTTCAGCATCTCAAACCAGATTCCATATTTTTATCCTGATTGGTGTAAAACAGCAAGTTTGTATCAAGCCCAGAAAATTAAGTATAGAATATCGCAGTTTAGACAGTGGTAGGACCAGATTTTTTTCCTGGTGCTTTTCTCTGTTGTCTTTGGAATATGGTGTTAATGTGACTTAAAAACTGAAAAGGTTACTTTGAAAACTACAGTTGAATATGGTTATGATAGAGTACCTGTGAAAGTAAAAAGCTCTTTCTTTTTAGACAAATTATTTATAAATATTGAATGATAACTCTGCTGTACAGAAATCATAAATGTTAAAACACAGCCTATACCTATTTTCTACCTTTTATTCTTATAATGGAATGAAGAGTTTCTTTTAAAGAATAATGTATAAGGAACAAATCAGTAAATCCTTAGAAATACCACATATTAGGTAATAGAGGAAACTTCCGATATATAATGGCTTTATATGTAACTGGATTGCGTTAGAATTGTTTTAATTGAAACCTTATAAATAGTGTTTAGGTCCCCAGACTAACATACAGAAACGTATTAGAAAATAGAGGAAAAAGTAGGGAAATAACAATAAAATCAATGAAGTTGTTTTTAGACATTACGCATACTTGTCCTTGTATTATTTATATTTTTATATGTTTTCCATTTCCACAGCTCTTTAAGTAGTCTCTCCTGGGTGGGAAGCCAATATTTTATAATTCTTTGTATTTCAGATGCCTAGCATATTGCTGCATGCATAGTAGGCAATTGCCTGAAATAGATTTAACTGAACTATGAGTAGTAAAAGACAGAAAATTGGGAAAAGAGGTCTTAGTCACAAGGCTTATATAGCATGGTCTCTAAGTATCTTACTATTTTGGTTATTTTTCTTTGAATGCTCTCTGGTGCCCTTCCCAAAATGTGGCACCCAGAACTAGATGATGTTGCATTTGTGATCTGACCAGTGCAAAGCTCCTTCTTTGACTCTTTTGCTCTCTGATATATCATATATGCTTACCGTGTTCTGTTTACTTGTCCTTAATATTTTTTCCAGTTTGTACTGCTAGCCCAGAGCCTTATCACTACAGATTACAGTCGTCCCTTGACATTTGGAAAGGTTAGAGGCACAAGATTCCAGCAAATATAAAAAACTATAACCCTAGGCCCCACCCCAAACCTTTATTTTTAATAATTCTGATCATATTACCACAAAAATAAAATAACACATTGTACCCTTAAAAAAGGTTGCAGTTTTCTACACACAAGAGATTAGTATGTTGCACACTGTGCAGTCTTCACAGCAACAGTTCGCTGCAATAACTGCTTCATGCATTTTCCTTCTATGAAAAGCACAAGCACAACTGTCATTGCTGGAGAAAATCACGTGACTGAGTCTGGATGGCTGAGAGAGAAAGAGGAGATGCTTCCAAAAAGAGTGTGTAGCCTGTAGTTCTTTAGCATACTGAAACTTTAAACAAAATTTAACTGTTTTTAATAAATTTGTGTGTATATACTTTTGGTAGCAAATGATAAAATAGATTAATAATTTATAGTATTTATGCATTTATGACTTTCTAAAGTTTTCTTCATATGTGTGCATCGTCTGCAGTTTTCTGCAGTGTGCCTGCAAATGTCCAAA